TTGAGAGTATATGATAGGATATAGAGAAACATAATATACAGGATATACAATTTGTTTTGAAAGAAATAAAACATATATTCATTTTATATAGTTAGGTTCGGTAATTATTGCTCCCATATATTTATTAGTTTAGATTTATATGTTTACCATACAACATGTACTATTTTTGCTCAATATATGAACGTAAATAATTTGTATAGATAACGACTATATATTACAATTTCTTATTCAGATTGTAAAAAACACAAGAATAAAGCAATCTATTGTGTAAACATATTTTGTAATTTCGATATAGATATAATGGATGCAACTTATCTTAAAAGAAATAAAATATAAATGTAACATAAATTTACGTGTTTTATCAAATATGCAAATTTTCACAATCCTACAAAAGTTATATATATTGTAACTCATATCACTCTTTACCGATCACGAAAAATATGCCATTTAATTGGTAAATTAATTTATTCTTGGAAACATTTCCAAATGCATTTTTATGATTTTTCATACCAAAAATTGAATATCCCAATAAAATTTCATACCAAAAATATTTCGCTCACTTTATACCAATTACCATAAATTACTTTAGTAAGTTACCAATATAGTAAATAATATTTTTTTGGCGGGAAATATTTACTATTTTAAAAATAATCAAATTTTTTTTATATATACTAGTACAAATCCCGTGCGATGCACGAGTAAGAGATATTCATTAATATTTATAAATTACACATCAATTAGCCATTATCTTTTTATTTTTTCTCTCTTCTCTCTATCATTTATTAAGACTAAAGTTTAATGAGGTAAAATTTATTAGGTAAAATGCAATGTACAATCAATGACAAAAATAAATCAGAAATCAGTCATCATAAACAATAAAGTTGATATATTTTTCCTTAAAAACTTGTAAATTTGCAAATAAATATGCTAGACTCACACTCACACGTACTATATTCGGTAATTTCTATAAATGTTTAATATATTATTCTTTTGCATAAGATGGTTATTTATTTATATCAATAACCGTATAATTTTGTAAACTTCATAAATATTCAATGATAAAGTAAAATAACTAATTAAAAAATATAATATTACATGTTTATCATGGTTCTGAAAATCGGACCGGACCGGTCGATTCAACCGGTTGGAAATATATATTAACAAGCATTAGAATCGGTCAAGGTCCCGATTCGAATGGTTCACCGATTCAAGCTTATGAATTTGAAACTGATTGATTGTGAAGGGATTTAAATAGCATACTTTTTTTATTTGTGTTTCCTATGTGAGATATGTTTCCATACTGAAATTTTTGGACCAATATTGGGCCTAACAAGCAATTTTTATTCATTAAAAAAATGTATTATTTTTTTTATATAGACTATCTATTGGACTAATATCTATTCTCAATTTTTTTTTACAAGAAGCAATTTATTGTTGTTTTTTTTTTTTTTCCCGAAACGATAGAGGTTGTATTACTAATTCTCAAAAGAGAAGATGAAAAGAGTACAACTAAAAATTACAAACCGGAAATGACAAACTGGGAGGCACATACAAGATGGCCTAAAACCTCAACAAACTGGGACTGACTAGGAAAAGAGGAAAGAGAAATCTTATCACCCGCCACTGCTTCAAAGCCTAGCAAGATAATAAAATTCCAGAAACACAAAAGAACACACAATACAAACCAAAACCCAAAAAAAAAATGAAAACAACAAACAAGTCCAAAAGGAAGTCTAGAAACATCACAGCAAAGAACAACACCCAAGTCAGCTCACTGCTCGATTGTACAGCAACCAGTCAGAATGTGCAGCCATAATTACTCTATGAGTTGGCATCCGAGATTTTTGAAAAACCCATAGGTTTCTTGACTTCCAGAGCCACCAAAGCAGGTATGTGGACAGTTGAATCCTAGCTTCAGCTACTTCTGAGGAGCCAAGAGAACAGAGTTGTTGCCACCAGCCTTTAAATGATTCAGTGCAGCAGGTTTGTGGATCCCATGTGACAGGTGATAATTCCCAAAATGTTGCAGCTCTTCGACATGAGAAGAATAGGTGTTCCATGGTTTCAGGGGCAGCTCCACATATAGTGCATGTAGTATCAATATCAATGCCTTTCCTTCTGAGATGAGTGGCCACAGGTAGAGTGCCAGAAACACACTTCCATATGAAGTGCTTAACTTTGTTCTGAATTTTCAATTTCCAGCTTATGTACTGCAATGCTCTTTTCTGAGGGGTGGAAGAACTACATTCAGGGATGTCTAGTTGGGAGAGTTTTTTAGCAACAAGGTGTTCATAAGTGCTAGAAACAGTGAACAGACCTTTCTGGTTTAATCCCCAATAGTACCTGTCTTCCTTTTCTGGTTTCAAGGTGTTGATGTTGAGGATGGTTGTGCTGTCCTGTTGAGGGAAAACTTGGTTAATGAGCCATGTGTTCCATTCCCTGCCATTGTCTAACAGCAGGTCCTTAACCCAGATAAGATGGTCCCTGGCTAATTCCATTAGTTGAGAAGAAAGTTTGGGGAGAGTGGGAACCCAATTGAAATCAGCTATCCTTGTGTTAACCCCATTCCTAATCTCAATTTTTAGCCACTGAGAGAAAATAGGCATCATATCCACCCAAGAATTCCACAGCCAAGACCCATTTTGACACTTACCAGCATGAACAATGGAGTTATTTGGGAAGTACCTGTCCTTCAAAACTCTGCTGACCAAGAGTTCAGGGTTAGTTGTAATCCTCCAAAGTTGTTTGCAGATTAAGGCTTGGTTGAACAATTTGAAGTCCAGAAATCCTAGGCCTCCTTGCAGCTTAGGAAGAGCCAAAAGAGTCCACTTTTTCCAATGAATGCCAGAGGATTCCTGATTTCCTGATTTCCACCAAAACTCTGCACATAGCTTAGCCAATTCTGAACATAGAGTAACGGGAATTTTAAAACAGGACATTGTAAATATAGGAAGTGCTTGCACTACAGCCTTGAGTAACACCTCTTTCCCAGCAGAGCTAAGGAGATTTGTTTTCCAGCTGGTCAGTTTGGCCTTGACAGAGGTAAGAAGGTAATCAAATACTTCTTTCTTTGACTTTCCAATGCCTAGAGGGAGTCCCAAATACCTTGTTGATTTGGAGTTACAATCCCATTCAAAGTATTGCAGATAAGGTGCTCAAGCTGTGATGGAGTATTTTTACTGAAAAAGGCAGCAGATTTTTGTAAATTGACTTGTTGACCAGAGAACAACCTGTATTGTTCTAGTAAGTTTAAGAGAACAGTAGCTTGATCCACCCCTGCCTTACAGAAAAATAACGAGTTATCTGCAAATAATAAATGTGTCAATGCAGGTCCATTCCTAGATAGCTTAAGTCCTTGCAAATGACCTTTGTTACAAGCATCAGAGATGAGAGCAGATAGAAGTTCAGTCACAATTATGAATAGGTAGGCGGATAAGGGATCCCCCTGCCTAATCCCTCTGGATGGTGTGATATAACCACTAACTCTACCATTCACTTTGAAAGAAAAAGTTGCAGAAGATACACAGACCATAACCAATTTCACAAAATCCTGATGGAACCCCATTTGCAGCATAATTTTCTTAATACACATCCACTCAACACGGTCAAAAGCTTTGATTAGGTCAAGTTTGAGAGCCATGAAATAATTTTTACCAGATGAGTGTCTGTTAAGATAGTGAAAGGCCTCTTGTGCAATTATAACATTGTCTAAAAGTTGTCTTCCCTGGACAAAAGCTGATTGGTGATCACTGATGCACTGAGTTAAGCAAACCTTCAGTCTTTGAGCAATGATTTTAGATAGGACTTTGTAGACCACACTGCACAAACTAATCGGTCTAAATTGACTGAGAGTATCAGAATTGGGACATTTGGGTATAAGGGACAGAACAGTATGGTTCCAATATTTTAAAAGCATGCCTGATTGAAAAAAGCTCAGAATAGCTGCCATAAGATTATCCTTGATGAGAGACCAGAAGTGTTGATAAAAGGATGCACTCATACCTTCTTCTCCTGGAGCTTTGTCTGGGTGAAGGCTGAATAGAGTTGTCTTGACCTCTGTTTCTTCCACTAGTTTAAGGAGATCTGCATTGATATTAGGAGTGATGGTTGTGGGGATCAGTGGGAGTAGAGTTTCCCCACCCCAGCTGCCTTCTGAGGAAAATAAGTTGTTGTAAAAGTCAGCAATGTGATCTTCAATGTCCTTTTGAGTGGTGAATGCTTGGCCTCTGGTAGATAGTAGCCTTGTGATAGCATTGTATCTTCTTCTCTGAAGAGTCAGGGCATGAAAAAATCGTGTGTTGGAATCTCCTTCCTTCAACCATTTCAGTCTGGACTTTTGTTGCCAGAACAATTCTTCATACTTGTGAGCTTTTTCCAAATCTCTTCTAGTAGCTTCCCAGCATTCCCATATTGCCAGATTTATCTTGATTAAGTATTTGAAGCTTGTTGGTGAGGCTTGAGATAAGAGCTTGGTTCTGAGTTTGAAATTTGGAGCTCCAAATAAGCAGAGTTGTTCTCACTCTCTTGATCTTCTCTTTGAGTTGATAGAATGGAGTTCCTGAGCATTCAATATTCCAGGCTGTCTGCACTGTTTCTTCAAATCCTTCTTTGCCTATCCACCTTTTATCAAAGTGGAATCTCGTTTTCTTCCTTTCTCTTGGAATGCCATAATCCAGAATGAGAGGAGTGTGATCTGATGCACTTCTGATAAGGTTGAAAACTGAAGTATTAGGGTAAGCTTGCATCCATTCTGGTGATCCAAAGGCTCTATCCAGATATTCTTCCACTAAGCCCTGATTTGCTCTATTATTGCACCATGGGAAGGGGTAGCCTTCTAGCTTGATTTCCTCCATTTCCATCTCATTAATGAAGGAGTTGAAACTTTGACAACTGACAGAATTTCTAGGACTTCCTCCTGCCTTTTCAGCATTGGATCTTATTTCATTCCAATCTCCAATGGCAAACCACAGATCTCCCCATGATGATCTATCTATCACAAATTCCTGCCACTGGTCAATTCTCAAAGATTTACAAGCATTAAAATACACAAAACCCCCCATTGAACAGCCTGGGAGTTAAATTGAAACTGAACAGCAATATAAAAAGATTTACAAATACAGTTCAGAATTTGAATCTGTGGATCCCAACAAAGAAGCAGGCCCCCACTGAGACCTATTGGATCCACAACAGCTAATCTATCTACAAAACCCAACTTTCTACCTACAGATTTAACAAATGCATTTTGTTTTTTTTGTTTCAGAAAGAAAAAGAAATAGGGGGTGGTGAGTTTTCAGTAACTCTCGAATTTGGGAAATTGTAGAGGGCCCACCCAGCCCTCTACAATTCCACACCACAGCTAACATTGGTCACTCGGGTGCCATTCTAGGCTGGCAACCCCCACCTCTTCAGAAGTTACTTTGAGTTTTTTAGAAGAAACCTGGTTGGAGACAGTGATGTTTTCTGCTGGTTCAGTTGTGTCTTGGTTTTGCCTGTTCCTTTTTCCTTTGACCAGCTGATCAATGATTATGGGGTCCTCAGAAGTTCGTTGCAATCTTCCCATTTTGGTCCCAGCTCTTTTCCATGTCTTCATAGCATTTGGCTTAGTGATTACAAATGTTTCATTGGTAGAGTGAAGAAGTGGTAGCATTGATGTGTCCCCCTTCTCAATATCCATAGTGGCAGGTTCTATTATCTGTAGGGGGAAAGCTGCAGTATCTTCAGGGATTGTAGTAGTTTGATTGGCCGAGTATTGTGAAGTGTTGCCTAAGGATTTGGCTGGTGAGTGAGTTTCTTCCTGGCTTGCCACTAGTTGATTATGAAAGTTCTGTTGACTTGAAGAAGTTCTTTGAGATTCTGCAGGAGTATTTCTTGTTAGTGATTCTGGTGGTGGACATGTTCTTGAGTCTGAAAGGCTACCTGGTGACCATTTGTAACCATCAGCAGCTCTCATCCAATCTCCATACTGACCCTCTTTGAGTGCCTTGTTCCTGAGGTCCTCCATCTTTTTATTGCAACCCCTATCCAGGTGTCCAATCTTGCCACAGTAGTGGCATAGGTTCATTAGTTTTTCATACTTGAACCTCACATTTACAAGCTGCTCTCCCAGCCTAACTTTAGCTACTCGGGGTAGGGGTTCATCAACATCTAAAGTCACAAGGAGTCTGAGAAGTTTGCCTCTATGGTTGCCAGTGGTTGCTATGACTACATTCTTCAGATCCTTGAAGGCGTTGCCTATTTTGAGTCCCACATCCGTGCTAATCCATTTTAGAGGAATGTCCTGAACTTGAACCCACAAATTAAGTTCTTTAAAGCTGGGGTGTTTGCTGTTGAGGTTTGTCATCCATTCTTTGAGAATAATATATTGATTCTCGAAGCTCCAATTGGTTCCATTTGCAACTTTTTTCATGTCCTCCTTGCATTGAAATATAAACTGAAAGTAGTTAGGGCTAAGCTCCTTTACCTCCATTGGTTGACCAAGCTTCCAAATCTGTGACATAGCACGTTTTATTCCAATCCAACTAGCCGGTCGGTCACCTATGATTTTGCCGAAGAGGCTCCTTTGACATTCATCATCACTGACTTTTATGTCATCTTAGGCAATATCGAAGATAATGGCTTCCTTTTCAGAAAGAGAGAAATCCTTAAGCCGATCAGAGAGGTCCTCATCAGGGGATGGTGAATGGGATCGATCCATGATAACCCTAAATGTATGGTGAAAGGATAACTGGTAACTGTATGCTGATTGAACGAAGAAGATGATCGGAAAATCAAAGCTCTCAGAGAGAGAATCGCGGCTCTCAGAGAGAGAATCGAGAAAAATCAATTTATTGTTGTTTGTTATGCACAATATTTTTATTTTTAATCAATAATAAAAAATTTAAAATGTGATTCAAAATTAAAATTGGGTTGTTTCTATTCTCTCTGTTTAGTAACTTAAATATAGATTAAAATTTTAAATATAAAAATAAAAAAAAAATGTTAATAACATTATTCAACATTGTAAGTTGTATTATTATTGAACTATTATTTAGAATAATATTATACACTATAAAATTAATAATAAAAATATATATAATTATAAATTATATATATATAATAAATAAAAAATTATATATTAATTAAACCGATTTGACCGTTGATACAACCAGTGAACCATTTAACCAGTAGCTTATTTAACCAGTAGCTTAAACACCAGTTCCGTTTCAGAACATGCGTACTCTTATTTTGGGGTTCATTATTTTTTATTCTTTTCCACAGGTTATATAAAAGTTTGAGTACCCTAGTCTCGAGACTCTCGACAGCTGATTGGGATTCCACCCGTAAGCACGAAGCTAAAATTGTTCGTTTCGCAGTTTCTTCGATATTGAATTTGATATTCACTGAAAACCTTCTAAATTGCTCAACTGTGATCCAAATGGCCGACAAAGATATTTCCCCTGAAATCCGTCCGGAAGATGGAGCAGCGGACGCTGCGAACGGACCCAGCGAGTCAACCAGTAAAATTGTGTCGGAAGAGGTTGAGGATGAACTGGACGAGTTGGCTTTGGACGAGCCTCGAGGTAATTCCATGGCTGCTCTATTTGCCCCCATTAGCTGGAATTTGTTTTTACTGCGTTGTAATATTCTAGCATTTGATGGGGCAGAATAAAATTGAGGTTCAAGAACGAAAGGAAATCTATGTTGGAAAGAATGAGTTCTGTGTGATTTATCAGTAATGCACTTGAGTTTCTATAAAACTCGTACTTGTGGATAGGATCAGTTTAATGCATTTTAACTATGAGCCACGACCTGGTTTCAGCTTATTTAATTCTTATTATTCCTGATAACTGTTTCCATAGTTTCTTGAGGGTTGACTTCTGTTTCTTTTCCGTTTTTTACTGCTGAAGTTTCTTTAGTATCTCGTTTGCTTCAAGTTGGTGGAGCAATGAACATCCTCTTATATATTTGTTTTGAATCTTGCTTCATTTGTACCTAAGAAAAAATGTATCCATCATGTAGCAGAGCTATAATACCAGAATGATTTGTGAAAGGAAATACCTTTCTGCTAGTTCTATATAAGCTGGTGACATGATAATCTGATGAATATCTCGATCTTCAAAGATTCTTTCTTTTTAGGAATAGAGAGAAGTTTGTTGCATTAGTGATTTGATGGACTACCCTTTTTCTGGTAAAACTCCTGGGAGACCTTCATTAGATTTCTTTTAATAACCTAGAAATCCTTAAATGCATTGTCGTTGCACAACCATTAGGGCCAGTTACCTTGTTGTCCTCATATTCAGATTCCAGAAATGGTCTCTGTAGAGGATCCTTTGCAGGGGAACCAAATTGAGCCACACCTTCAGTTCCCCGATTTTGATAATCAGCTTTCTCTTCCACACTTATTTCAGAAATTTATCAATCTGAAATTGTTTGTAAAATTTTTCTTAAACCACCAGTGTATTAATTAATTCAAACTGGCAATATTTTGTTGTGTTGCTGATTGCTATATGCTCGACCGTTGTAAGTTGAGTTAGTACAGTGTCTAACTTTAGTGATTGATATTTGGAATTGTTCCATGAATATTCGTTTTTGTACTTATGCCTAACCTATTCAGTTACTCTCTTTGACCATTTTTAGAAGCGGCAAAGAAGAAAAAGAAGAAGAAAAGTAAAACCAAGTGAGGAAAAATGTTTTTTTAAAGCTTCCCCTCGTTGTACTTCTTTTATTTGACTTCTCGAATTAACTAGCAAATGTCCTTTCCAATTTTCAGGAAGAAAAAAGAACCACTTCAGCAAACTGATCCGCCATCTATTCCTGTTGGTGAGCTTTTTCCATCTGGCGAGTTTCCAGAGGGTGAAATTCAACAGTACAAGGACGAGTATGTCAATAAAGATTACATGTTTCCATAGTGGTTTCCGATACTTTGTTTATTTAATGCGTGGAGACATCTCATATAGCTTTTAAAGATTTTATCCCATCTATTAGAGTTATTTTTAAATTTCTCTCAGATGTAGCTAACGTAGTGCTAGAGAGAATATATGTGCAATAGCAAATAAAGGAAGTTGGATGACACAGGAAACTACATCCATTTAGCCTGGTCTCGACTTTTTAATCACTGGTATAAGAAGTACATAAATACCTGGACATCTCACTTAACAGATTTGTGTGTGCCTGCAACTCTGCAAATACATATATGGGTGGAGATTTCCCCATTTCTTGATTTATGTCCTTTGTTAAGATTTGTGCTATAGCAATTGATAAGTCACTTGACTGTCATTCATTCTATAACGATTATGTACCTATGTAATTATTTTTTTTCCCTAGTAGGTGCGTATTAATTATGTCAAAACACTTGCTTTTTATTCTGAGGAATCCCAAATAACTAATGGTTCAATGTAGTAACGTATGGAGAACTACATCTGAGGAAAAGAGAGAACTGGAACGACTTGAGAAACCACTTTATAATGCAGTTCGCCAAGCAGCAGAGGTCCACCGTCAGGTAGCATCAAACTTATGCTTAATGTTCTTGGCATAATATTGAACACATTATTTTGTAATTTATTATCCCTAAAGTTTTATTATGTAATCCTTGACAGGTTCGACAATACATTAGGAAAATTTTGAAGCCTGGAATGTTGATGACCGACTTGTGTGAGACCTTGGAGAATACAGTTCGTAAGTTAATATCGGAGAACGGTTTGCAAGCTGGCATTGCATTTCCTACAGGCTGCTCATTGAACTGGTGAAGTTTGCTTTTGATTGACGGTTCTTTCATCATTTTATAGTATTTTTTATTCGAGTCATGTAAATGTTTTTTACACTTCTCAATTGTCTTCTTTATGCTCTTTCTACTACAGGGTTGCTGCCCATTGGACTCCAAATACTGGGGATAAAACTGTGCTTCAGTACGATGATGTGATGAAACTGGACTTCGGAACTCACATTGATGGTAATCCACCTCCATAGTTGTTATCCCACTTTATTAGGGTTCCTCTGCACTTTATTTTGGAGACTATTGTTACTCAATTTTTTCCTTGTGATTGTTTGACTTCAAATTTTGCCATTATTTGTAGGTCATATAGTAGATTGTGCGTTCACTGTGGCATTCAACCCTATGTTCAATCCTCTGCTCGAAGCTTCACGTGAAGCTACGAATACGGGTATAAAGGTGAGTACCGTATTACCGTTGTTATTATTATTATTATTGTTGTTGTTGTTGTTGTTGTTGTTGTTTATTATTAGTTTTACTATGACTTCGTGCAATGAAATTATTCTAGCTTATTAGATTTGTGGGGGTTTGTTTTATTTTATTAATCCTTCATTGTTGTTAATATTCTTTACTATTTGTTTAACAGGAAGCTGGAATTGATGTTCGTCTGTGTGATGTGGGTGCTGCAATACAAGAGGTCATGGAGTCGTATGAGGTTGAAATCAATGGAAAGGTGTTTCAGGGTAAAGATTTAGTAGATAACTTGAGCAACATATGTTTTGCATGACCTCAGCATCCCGATTTCATCATTGCCTACCTTTATTATCCTCATCATCATCGTTTGTCCTTTTTTCCATTCATTATCACATAACTTTCTTGAAACAATAAATATCTTAAATAAAATGAACACCATGGTTCTTTTCCTTGTTGAGCTCAACTATAACTTGTAAACCACAACAATTTGCTTGATATGCATGTGCTTGTGGAAGCGCATGTAGCTAAGCGTTGGATTCATTAATTGACGAGCATGTGTGTGTGTTTTTCATAGTTGTTAGAAGTTATGTTTGTCCCACATCAATGAGTGACTGAGTTGTTATTGAGCTAGCTTTTCGGAATAAGTTCTACCCAGATCCATCTATCAATAGTCAAGATAAAGTGAGTGCAAATAGTATATATTTGATATTATTAATTTGGAAAATAAATGAGAACATAACTTAGACAAAAGAGACAACTCGGACATAACCATAAATGGGCAATTTTGCCCTATGGGATGAAAGCCCTATAAGTACTTAAACTAAAGATAATTAATAAAATAAATCCGGCTCTGCTGCTTGATACGTAACATCGCATTTATGGGTTTTGAGAAAAGTTTTCGTGACTGCTGTTGTAAATAGCATACAACAATTTAAATTGCAGATACCTTGGGACTGTCTGTAAGCTGACAACTTAATCAACAGTTTAACTGATTTGCATCAGTGTTATGAAAGATGGGTGGCTTCTTGGTCTAGTTTGATAGGTTTCAGAAAGGGAGGAAAGAATAGACTATAATTTTTCCGTATTATCATTTGCTAAGTAAATAAGAAGCGCATAATTTGTTCTCTGTCTTGTCATTGTTTTATTTTGCAATTTCCATGTACGATGTTCGCTTGCATTATTAAATGGCGTAACCTTTTTAATCGCATACAACACAGCCATATGGCGAACACCTTATTGATTAGGATGGTTTGGTTGTTTTTGCAGTGAAGAGTATTAGAAATTTGAATGGTCACAGTATCGGGCCCTATCAAATACACGCGGGAAAATCTGTCCCGATAGTCAAAGGAGGAGAGCAAACAAAAATGGAAGAGGGTGAATTTTATGCAATTGAGACTTTTGGATCCACAGGTGAGATTTTTTTTTTCTCTCTCTCTCTCTCCAAATCTTGTTGATGCACTTGTTTTGGAGGTGTGTTATCCTTTTCCCGCCTTTTTGTGTTTATGTAGGGAAGGGATATGTTCGAGAAGACCTTGAATGCAGCCATTACATGAAGAACTTTGATGCCGGTCATGTCCCACTACGTTTACCCAGAGCCAAACAACTTTTGGCTACTATTAATAAGAACTTCTCAACATTGGCTTTCTGCAGACGCTATCTGGACCGCATTGGAGAAACCAAGTATTTGATGGCACTAAAGAATTTGTGTGATGCTGGTATTGTTCAGGTATGTATTTTTCTGTTTGAAAAAACGAGGGCTTGGCTTAGACCGCATTTTTTATAAGAGGCTCTGATACTTTGTGTCTATTCAAAAATTGAGTTTGTAGCATTTAATTGAAAATTCGCTTTTTGAAGAAGAGTGTGTCAATCATACTGACATTTGGCGTCTAAAATACTAAGTTTAAGAATAACCCAGACTCATACTCATGTGAGTTCGCACATGAATTTGATTGCCAACACATACAAAGGCTGAGAAGATAAATTGCCAGTAGTGTAAAGATTGCATGAAAATTCTTTGAGGCTTATCCGAAAGAATCCCCTATAAGTTTAGCAATAGAACAGATGCATCTTTAATCTTATTACTGTGGATCTTGTTCATTCCCATTAAAATATTTTTATGAACTCAAGAGCTTGAAATTTGTGCAAACTTGGCAGCCATACCCTCCTCTTTGTGATAATAAGGGCAGCTATGTTTCTCAATTTGAGCACACAATTTTGCTTCGCCCAACATGCAAAGAAGTTGTGTCAAGAGGGGACGACTACTGATGAAGAGAAGTGATTAGAGAGAGAAGAAAGAGAGAGAGAAAAAAAAAA